TGTAATCTGAGGGAGTTGAATATTTGAATTTTTTACATATGGCCCACAATTTTTTTAACCCATCTGTAGTATGTGAGGGTGCACTTTATGACTGCTATGTCTAAATAAATGGGACATATTTTCTTATATACACTACCGTTCAAAAGTTTGGGCTTAGTAAGGATGCATTAAATTGATCAAAAGTGACAGTAAACAGTACAACTTTTCTATTCTGTTTAAAGGATAATGTAATTACATTTCTTTCTCAAATAAATGCTGTTCTTTGAACCTTTTATTCATCAAAGAATCCTAAATAATGTATCACGGTTTCCACAAAAATATTAAGCAGCATGAATGCTTTCAATATTAATAATAAGAAATGTTTCTTGAGCACCAAATTCACCATATTAAAATGATTTCTGAAGAAATTGCTGAAAACTGGAGTAATTACTGCTATATTACTAACGTCTAATATATACCCAAAACTTTTAAACGGTAGTGCATATGATTATTATAATTTTTTATATATGGCCCACTGATATATTTTTTAACCCATTTATATTACATGTGAGTGCAACTGATGAAAGCTAGAAAGAATAAATAGGACATATTTCCTTAAATAAGTCCTTCCATAAATAAACACGCACACACATAAAAATAAACTACTGTTAAACATATTTTGTCATATAATTTACAAAATGTGCTTTATGTGAATCAACATTAAAATTGAATTCAATTAATTGGTTTTATTCAATGAAAAATATTAAGTAATATGACTAAACAAACCTTAATGAAATAGGTTACATCAAAGTTATTTTTGAGGGTTAAATCATGGGTTAGAAAACTGATCTTTAAAGTAACAATTGCTTGTTGCCATTTTTACATTGTAATAATGAACAGAAATATTTGCTGTGTGTGGTGCTCAACTCTAACCTTTAGTACTCCTCCATCATTCCCTGCACAAAATTGCATTTTTCTCTCCACTTAAACCTTTTCTTCAGAAAAAAGGCTAATGGTTTCTCAAAAGGTGAAGAACCTTGACACATTTACATGTGTAAATGGTATACCATTCGCATTCAAAATGTACTATATTCATTTTTGATAAAAGAAAAAGGTTCTTTATTTGAATTGTGCAATATTTTTTTGAAAATGTACTTTGAAGTGATTGGAGAAAAAGGTGTTGCTTTTGCCTGAAATTAGCTAAGTTTATACACCACCATCGAATGCATGCCAAGGTTGCACATATTGAGGATTGACTAGGTTGCCAGGTGCCAACCAGCGAATGAGGGTTTCTAATGTGCAAGATTATTGAATTAAACATCCCATTTTATGTTTGTTTTTTTCAGTATCCTATATACTGTGCACTTAGAACAAACCTGAGGGTTACCTCTACAAAAAGCCACTTGTTTACCTCCAATCCTGAGGTAATTTTCCCCTGATTTCATCAATTCAATTGAGAATGAATTGCTCTGTGAGGGCTGAGTAATTTTTGTTGTTCTGACGCTTTGTTTAGCATCCAGGCGAGATAAATGCAGAAATTAACATGGGATGCCAAGTTTCACCGCATGGGCTGCTACAAACCCCATTTGTGCCTGCTGAAATTTTCCAAGCAGACTTCAGATCGGTTGTAGTTGACGATGTGGAGGGTTTTTTTTGCCAGGGATGGAAAAGAACATGAGGATAGACAATAGCTATCAGTGAGTGTGTGTATGCGTATGACTTTGGTTTGTAGGTCTTACCTCTTCAGATCCATCCTTGGTTGCTGCTCTGACCCCTCCACCCCTCTCATGCGAGTGTTATCTAGGATATTTGGATGCAAAGACTATGTTTCAAGATAAAAACTTGGATTTATAACCTGGCCAAAGGGAACGGGGGACGGGCAGGTGATTTCATGCAATTCTTATTCCAAAACATCAATATTCCGTAACCCTTGCAATATCAGGTTTTCAGTTTAAGCAAAAGAACGAAACAGTTCCGTTTCCTGTTCCCTGTTCCCTGTTCCCTGTTCCCTGTTCCCTGCCAGTGCCTAAAAAGTCACCGATATTCCACTTCTGTAGGTGCTTGGCACATTGATGCACTGTTGTTTGCTGGGATATCACCAACCCTGTTACGCTATGACGTGTATGACAGCTACTCGTTTTTACGGTTGCGCGACTCGGCTGCCTGGCATCCCATGATACGTTCATAGTCCAATTACAGAATCAGTAACTGCTAACGCATTTGAGGAAAGACAGTCCAGGTGATATTTTCAACTACACTGTGATATGATATTTTCTTCTATTATTCCACTAGCATGATGTGTTGTGACCAACATCGCCACGTTTGATCAGATACAGGTCAGGATTTGCAACAAATCCAACCCTGTACAGCATGCATATAATTCCGAACTGGTTCGTTTTAGATTACTGCCTTACTAGTCAAACAAGTTACACATCAGTTTAGTCGATATTAAAGTCATGCCGCCATTTGTAGATGTGGAGGGTGGGATGGGTAAGTGGGACCAGTCTCTAATATCTGATTCTTTGTGGTGCCTTGTCTTTTTGGGTGCTTCTGTGTAGCCATGGCAGCCAGTGCAGCAAACAACAATGCCAGTGTCTCTATCTCCATTCATATTTCGCTCAGTACTGTAACAAGCCAGTCAATTTTGTCCCGTACCCACACAGAAAGTGCACTCCTGGGTAAATCTTTGCAAAATGAAATGATCTGCATATTACAACTTAAAGGCAATACTTAACATCTACTTGAATGTTGGGTTCCACACTTTTCCCGAAGACGAAATACACAGACCGGTTCCATTCGACTATTCTCGAGGGTTTTGTTTATGATCGGATACGAAAAAGCAATGAGATTTGGTTTGTTTGGGTACTAAATGACAGTTATGATGAAGTTAGCAATTTACTTAATGATTAATGATTGTTAATGTACTTCTGTCTATGCCTTCCTCTGTCTTGCAAAACGAATGAGCTGTAGTGCCAACAAGTTAATCTTTTCTCTCTGTCGTTTGTCTTGTGAACAAAAATGTCTAGCCAAATGGATTTATGCCTGCAAAAAAAAAAGAAGAAAAAAAAAAGAAAAAATGTGTGTAGACCAATAAGAATAGAAAAAGTGGGGTACGTAAATATGGTGCTGACTGGGTGGAATATTTTAACTAAAACCTGAGATGGCATTGGACACATTTTTAAAGGCCTCTAGTGCTGAACCATCTTCAGACTGCTTCTACATCCTTTGGATACTTAGCATGCTCGCAAAATGCATCCTATGGTGACTCCTCCAACACACGTGCATGTTTTCTTCAGTGCTATGTCCCACCCATCGCTCCAGGGTTCTCTACACGCTCATCAAATCCAGTTCTGTACAGTGGTTCCGCAATGATCAGTATTGATATAGAGCCAAAAGTTCTGATGACGAAACAACCACAAAACGGTGCATTTTTGTTTCTTGACCTGGTGCTTATCAACATATTCTAAAGGTGCTACCACGAATGTGGACCGCAGGACCCCTGTTGTGGCTCACTAAGCAAGGCCACCGTCCGATAGACCTGTCTCTTTAAGCTCACGGACACTTTCTTCTCTGGAAGAACAAGCACCTCAACACAGTTTACAGCCAAACATCTCTCTTTGAAATATGGTGCCATTTATTATGTTTCAAGCTGTACAAAGAAGCATTGGTGCAGCAAATATGTTTATTTTTTACTTCTTCCCCGAATTTCTGTTTATTTTTATGTATATTTGTTTTAAAAAAAAATGTTTAGGTGTTTAGAATCTGCACTAGGATTTCTCGTAAGAGAAAAAAAAGATGAAAATGCATCATTTTGACATTCATCATATAGGCCTAAAAGGACTACTGGTAAAAAGGGATCGCTAAACATATAGAAGGTGATTGCTGTGTTGTATATTCCTGTCATCTCTATGTCCTAAACCTATGTGTATTTCTTCTGTTATTGTAGATCTGGCTGTATATTTTGTTGGAAAATGATCTTATTAATGATTATGGTTGTCAGATGAATTGCTGCTGATTTTAGAGTTGTTATCCATGCTGTTGGACACGGGTAAGCTACCTGTAAAACAGATTGTGTTAGATCGTCATTGTGTTTCTCACATGGGGTGTTAAAGAAAGAAGGCACAAAGTTAAGCAAATTATTTGCTACTATCTGTAACATTTCTTTTTTCATAACTGACTGTACTTATTGCTTATGTTGAGAAAAAAAAAGATTTATTTGATGTTGTCAAATACAAATGAAAGTAAATTGTTTTGTTTGATTGCCATTATTTGAGAACAAAACTGATGTCTAGTAATGCATTAGACCTTATTTTTGGGAAAACATATTACTAATACTGACAACATATGGTGCTACGGTTGATTTTGTAAACTTTAGTTTTTAGGCAAAAAAGGGAATATCATACTGACAAAAAAGAATATGTTGAGCCTTACTGTAGATCTATATATGAGACTGTTCATCACTGAAGACTGGAAAAATAAGTATAGTATTTGAAAGTGAGTACATATATATAACACTGTATCCTTTATGTTTATGCAGAATTTGCCCAATGACAGATCAAAGTGGTTATATACTAATGTATATGTTCAGATGTGTATGTGAATGTATACTGATATGATAGAGATAGATTTCCCAGAGTAACAAATTGTTGTTTAATAAAGATATTACATTATTATAATTCATTTTTTTTATCATCAAATTGCTGCAATCGAGTTATTAGTTATGAAACACTCGAATGTATTCAGAATTCATAACTTATTCATATATCCAAGCATGTAACCACATTCAGGATTGGGGGGAAGGGGGGTCTGATTAACAATAGTACTGTTACTTTGGTGGTGGTTACAACAGATGAAGTATCAATAGTCTAAAATAGCTACTTGAGTAAATCCATAAATAAAGACAAACGTTATTGAAGGAACAGATTTAAAATAGAAGTAGGCTATGTTACATTATATGTTCCAAATAAGCATTTAGAGATGTTATGTTTTCTGTTTGTCTCGCAAAGCACTGTGGGTAGACGTCCTACGCCCAAAATGGCGGCAGGATTGAAAAGTTTGTTGCTGCTTTTGTTTTATTTTATGACATTTTATCGGCCTCTGTCTCCTTCTGAATAAATCCCTATTTTTTGTTTATCACGATTAAGAAGGTTAGTCGTTTATTTTGTTTAGTTTAGATCGGTAAAGCGCCTCCGTGGAAGTGTACGAGGCAGATGGCACTGAACTCGAGGACAGAACTGCATCTAATACAATTAAAATGAAGAGCATTTGTACATAGAGATGGAGGATGACGTAAAGAAAGTCAAAAAGGTAAGTCAACATTGTAATATTTTGAGAGTTTACGCGCATGATCCACAAACTGGTTAGTAGTTGAAAAGTGTTGGCCTGACCACAGATAAACAGCTGTATTAGCTCTCCTCAGCCTCATAAAAACACCCACATTTTATTCTTATCACTAATGATATTTAGAGGATTCTCTATGCGTTTTGTCGTTGACGTTACTTGACTGGATTAGTAACGTTAGGGGAATTGCTGGTGGTTTACGTTAGTCGCTTTATTTAGACGCATCACCCAAAATAACCTGAGAATCTCAGCATGTGACTTTACTGTGATTGTAGCATATCTGTCTCTTGTCATTGTCTTCTGAGCTTCTTTATGGCATTTAGTATCTCGCTCATACTTCGGTCAGAGTTACAGAGCCCCTCTATGGTACCGTAGAAAAAATATTTGAGACGCGATCATCTGTACATGAATTTTCTAATCTGTACTGTCTGTTTATAATTTTTTGTAATCTATACAATCAGTAGCTACTCAAAGATTCATAAACTACATCCATAGTATCGCAGCACGGTCCTCCAATTAAGAAATATGTCTACACTGATGTTCTTGTAGTAGATATGATCCTAAAATATTGGAATTTTACATTGTAGTAAATAATATATAAATCTCATATAAATAAACAAAAAAAGAGCCAAAACTGCAAAATAACATATAGCATGGCTCTTAATAGATTTTAAGTTAGAAGCTGTGAACCTAAAATTAGAATGTAAAATACATCCAGGCTTTTCTTAAAAACTTTCCAGATACATTTACTAACTTTTGCTATATATATATATATATATATATTTAGCAAATGGCTGCAATATAACAAAGAGTGAAAAATTGAAGGGGGTCTGAATACTTTCCGTACCCACTGTGTGTGTGTATGTATGTATGTATGTGTATATATATATAATTAACTAAAGAAATGGTTTAATTTTTTTAACAAAATTTGTTTGTATATATATCTAAAATGTAAATATAAAAATTTAAATTATTACTATTAATGATAACATCTACATTTTAGCTGTGAGCAGAGATTTCTAAATTGTGGGAATGGCTCTACAAATCTGTGTTTGTGATTTTGTGAGTGCAGTTTCAAAATTAAGGGTACGGTTACACATTTTTGCGCATTGATTGCTAAAATAAAATGATCAGACCTTAAAAGTCTCCTCTTTGACCCTATATTGAGTCTATGTACTCCTCTATCCGATGTTGAAGTTAATAGGCCTGCAGGAACAGCATTATCTGATGTGAGGAATGGCAGGATCACAGACAGGGTTCTTATGATGTGACGTTTCCTGTCAGATCAGCGTTTTTGTAGGGGAGGTGTTTCCATGCCGAGCTCACACTTTCCTCCTCATACACAGGGGAGAATGTGGGTTGCAAGTAGGTATAACTGCAGACCGGAGGTCCCTTCTAGAGGGTTGGGTTCTCCAAAGATTCAGACAGGATGTGACGCCCCCTGTGTCTGCATCTTAATCACCACTGTGCTGCGGATGCTTTCTTTCCCTCAGTCAAAGCAAATCAATTTTCATAGTTTTGTAGGATGTTGTGTAAACTTTCAAAGGTTGGGCTTTCAGTCGTTATTAAAGCGGTAATGTTTTAGCATTAAAACATAGCACTCTTTATTCTAATTCTATTCTTTATAAAAAAAAACTTGCCCCTTTTAGACTTGCACTCTTTATTTGCTAACTGCTTGTTTTCTTTAAAAAAAAAAAAAAAACACGCTATTCTATCTATTTGTTTTCTTTTTATTTATTATACAATGAACAAAAGCAAAAAAGGCCTCTAACACTAGCTTGCTCTATTCTTTTTCTATTCTATCTGTTTTCTTTTTATTTATGATTTAAAAAAAAAACCTTGCTACGTGTATTGCATTAAACTAACTGTGACTTGTCATAGCATTGCTCATATTATTGCTCTTTTGTTGATTTTGATTACTTCCATTGTCCTCATTTGTAAGTCGCTTTGGATAAAAGCGTTTGCTAAATGTAAATGTAATGTTAATGAATGTTTTGGTTGTTTGATTTAGCAGAGAATCAGTTTCCTCAAGTGTCCACAGGGTGGAGGCATTGAGTCATTTACTGTCAAAATCAGTGTGAAATTTGTTTTATATTAGTAATATTTTTATTGTGATTATTTGTTAATGTAAACAGCAGCTTTTGTAAAACCTGAAATAAATAAAAACCTTGAACTTAAAGCAATAAAATCTTTTTATATAATCTACCATTCAAAAGTTTGGTGTTGGTGAGATTTTTTTAAATGGCTTTGAAAAAAATTCTCATGCTCAAAAAATAGTAAAACAGTATATTTTTTTTTAATTATTACAATTCAAACTAACTGTTTTCGAATGGTTTTTGATCACTAAAATGTGTACAGTTTAAGAATTTACTTCTGGAGCCAAATTGAAATTACAGTATCTCAGGGACTGAAAGATATAGGGCCTTAAAGGGTTGGTTCACCCAAAAAAGAAAATTCTGTCATTAATTACTCACCCTTGTGTCGTTCCAAACCCGTAAGACCTTCGTTCATCTTCGGAACACAATTTAAGATATTTTTGATGAAATCTGAGGTAGGGCTGCACAATTAATCGAATTTCTAATCGTGATTACAATTATGGATGCCACAATTACATAATCGTTTAAAGTGGCAATTAATCGTTCAAAGTCCACTTATGTTATTCTGCGTGCTTAAGATGTGTTTTTTTCTTTCGACATGTTATCTTAAGGGTTTTTCCGCATTATTTTAATTTTAGTTTTAGTATAACATTATAATACCATTCATATTTTAACTTTTTTATAATTTGAAGAAACCAATCCGATTTATAGTTGACATTTGAGGCTTAATACTATAGAAAAGCACAAAGTTTTTCAGTTAGTGTTTTCAGCATGTTTATTTTCATATAAAAATACGGCATGCTGTTGCATCAAACAATGGTATAAACATCATTCAATGTAAATTGTGATAATCGTAATTACAATTTCAAGGGAATAATCGACAATTATGATTTTTGTCATAATCATGCAGCCCTAATCTGAGGGCTCTGACCCTCCCATAGACAGCAAGGTAACTACCACGTTCAAGGTCCAGAAAAGTACCAAGATGATCAACAAAGTAGTCTGTGTGACATCAGTGGTTCAACTGTAAAGTTACGAAGCTACGAGAATACTTTTTTGCACAAAGAAAACAAAAATAACGACTTTATTACACATTTTCGTCTCTACTGCGTCACTTGTGGACGTGCGTTCACGACAGTATCATGACGCGAGCGTGTGGCGGCGCTGACCCAGATCCGGCGTGATGAAAAACGTATTCTCGTAGCTTCGTAACTTTACAGTTGAACCACTGATGCCACATGGACTACTTTGTCAGTCATCTTGGCACTTTTCTGGACCTTGAACGTGGTAGTTACCTTGCTGTCTATGGGAGGGTCAGAACCCTAAGATTTCATCAAAAATATCTTAAATTGTGTCCCGAAGATGAACGAAGGTCTTACGGTTTGGAACAACATGAGGGTGAGTAATTAATGACAGAATTTTCATTTTTGGGTGAACTGAACCTTTAAAAATGAAGATGCCAAAAGCAATGTTTTTTAAGACCCAATATGTAAAAGGGCATTAAGATATCTTTAATACTTCTTGAATTACAGGCATGTGAACTTTGGAGAAAAAACTTGAAAAATGCCTATTCCCCATTTTTGAATGATCACCATTGGCAAATAATGCAACAAAGATTGCTAAAGTCAACAGATTTTACTAATAAACCAGCCAATCTCTGTGTAAAAATAACAATGATGCTGCCATCTTTCTAAAATAATTTTTTACTCCCCTGAAATTTGGCTTTGAATCTCAGGTGAAAATTGTTATTTTGACCCTCCTCTGCAAAATAGTGTATTACTCTAAATATACATTGACTAAATGCATCTACTTTCGGAAGGCCAAATAAAGTGCTTTTGCTTTCGCCTAGAAACACACAGCGTCTCCCTGACATGGCTGCTTCAACACTAACTACGGTTACTGAAACCACGCCTTCTTTCTTTGCGTGAACATTTGGGCGGCATTATGCAAATATTTCCACATAGTGAGGTAGATATGTGGGGGCGTGTTAGAACGAGCCGTTTTAGGGGGGCGTGGCAGAGTCTTAACTTTGATAAAGAATATCTCATTGGTTTTGAGACTTTAGTCTTTGCAACTTCGGGGATCTTATCTATGCACAATCAGCTTGTAACACTCCAAAGAGAAAGGTAAACTTGAAATCCCATCATATGACCCCTTTAAGAATTTGGCTTTCATCACTGTACATATTTATCTTTCTTCAGAAAAGAATATTGACAAATCAAAAATTAGAGTTTCTGAAATTTGGTTTATTTCAGGGGTTCCCAAAGTCTACATTCAAAGGTCCAAAGCTAATTTTCATCGGTGTCAAAGGTCCGGACCGGAACAATTGATTATTATAAAACTTGTTTTTAATAAACATAGGCTACATAACATGCAAAACAATATGATTGGCTGATTTTTTTTTTTTCCCTTTATCTCATAAAAGCGAGTTTGAGTAAATGATTATTGCAGGGCACAAGATGGTAATAGTAATAGTAGCCTAACTCATAGTAATAATACATGGCTCAAAGCACCTTCTCAAAACAGTTCTGAAGCATGCTTTTTATGTTTGATGACAGACACCAGTGTTTGTCACAGACTTGCAAATGCAAATTGATTCTCTGCCAGCAGGAGGCGCGGTTGGAGCAGAGATATAGTGGTTTCCACGGTAACGGCTGTAATCAAATAAGCGCTGAGCTCACAAATGCTAGAAATGAAAATGACATTGAAGCTTTTCTGAAAACGGTCGGTTCTTTTCAGTGATACATTCATATAAAAACACCCGCGCTGCATTTTAATTTAAAAACGTGCAGTGCTCAGTTTGTTCAACGAAGTAGAATCCTTTTGGAAAATCTATTTGTGGCGGTCAGTTTTGATTTTATGACGGGCCGCCACAAATAACTCAATGTATGGGAAACACTGGACACTGCTATAAGTCAAATAGCCATAATCTAAGTGATAACAAAAATAAATAAATAAAAAATAACTCATATTAGCATATGCTCACTGGATGTCATGACAACAAATATCTTGAAGGAAAAGTTTCAATATCTCGCCTTCGCTTTCATTTCGGACAATCTCCAAAAAGACATTAAAAAAACTAAACAAATGATTTACAAGTTTAACATGCGTTTATTAAAGTAGGAAATAATTAGTGCTCTTGAAATGGAGGCGGGTCCGGACTGAATTCCCTCCGGATCCGGACCGGAGTCCGGACTTTGAGAAGCACTGGTTTATTTGATACCCCATGACTCAAATGTCTTTACTGTCACTTTTGATCAATTTAATATATCCTTGCTGAATAAAGTAATCATTTCTTTTAAATAATCTTACTGGCACCAAACCTTTCACTTTCACCCTTCGTATGTCTGTTAAATCCAGGTGAGGATCACCTGTACACCTTGTTTTCTGAAATTTCAGAAGGACACAGACTCATGAAATGTTGATGTTCCTTTAGTGTCTCATTCCTTGTCTGTTCAATAATATAGTATGTGAAAGAATTAGGCTTGTCTGAGACAGAATATATCATAGATTCATTGCTCACACATGAAAACATCTAATGTTATGAATTAGCTTTTGAATACTTTATATCGGGGCTCTTCCACCTTATTCAGGACAAAGACTCCTTGGTGGATATAAAATGGAGCAGGGCCCCCTGATAAATATTGTATAAAAGGAGATTTGCATTTTAGGCCTATAATAAAATGCTATAGTACAATATTAATGAATATTTAATATTGTTAAAATAAAATGATATTTATTTATTATCAAGAGCCATATAGTTGTGCATTATAATTTTACTAAATTCTAAATATCCTTAACTTGAATAGACTTCTAAACTGTTTGTGTTGTTGTACTCTTAGTGGTATAATTGTTTTTGTTAGTTCCTCTTTATTAATTACTTCCTACCTAGCCCAGTATTTTGCACATACTAGTGACACACCTGAAGTCCTGTTTACTCAAAGCAGTATGACATTATTGGAGATCATCTTATAGAAGGACAGCAGTTTCTACAACCTTTTTTTATACTTTGTTTGGGTGTTTTATCACAGGAAATGGCGGTTTCTGTTCTTCCTGATTGCATGAACTATAGCTTAAGGCAGAACGTGAGTGTTTGTGTGTCATGGGGTGTGGTTTGTCTTGCTGCTTTGAGGGAGTTAGCCCTCATTTGTCACAAGCCACATGCAACCTGTTTTGAGAGCAGCGCGCAACAGTAGTCGACGGTTGCATAGGGCAGCTGTCGTGCGCCGCCAGTTTCCATTGTGCTGTCGAAGTGACTGATCATGGAGACAGAGGTAGGGCTCGCAGAACTCTTGCTTCTTTTCTTAAGCGTAATTTTAGTATGCTGTTCAACATTACAAATCCACAGACTTTGAAATACAACGTGGCTGCCTAAACATTCAGTCCACCTCCAGGTTTCAGCCTTAACTACTTCCAAGAGCTTAGAGACTTTTCTTTTGGATAGCAAGCTGACATTAGTGGTTAGGTTTACCACAAAGTAGCAGCCTTTTTCCATGAATGTCGATCTCATTATGTTTTGCAAAGGTATAGGATTTTATAAAAGACCTCAAGCCAATGTAGTGCTGAGACTAGTTGATTGTGTTGTTGTTTTTAAGCCAGTAGTACATTTGAAGGGTAAGGACAGCAAGTTAATGCATCTATTTTGCTGATTTATGTTGAATGTTTTAAAAGAAACTGCATTTTTGTTCAATTTGATTGAATAACTTGATTCAGAATAACCTGCACTTCCATGGAGGCTGATGTATTTACAAGCTTGGGATTGTTGTAGTAACAGTTGCCCCATCAGTCCAGAGCACAGAATTCAAAGATGTCGTCAGTGTGAAGTGTATCAGAACGACATCAGCAAGAATCATTTTGGTGCAGCTAGCCATTGACCAAACTCATAAAATTATGGTCACACTGAAAAAGCTCTTGTGTTTTTGACTTCCTCTGGTCGTGATGTGATTTCCTCTTTCTCTCTTTCTTTCTTCAGCCAGGTATTGTGTCTCCGTTTAAGCGGGTGTTTCTGAAAGGAGAGAAGGGGAGAGATAAGAAGACTCTGGAGAAGTCCACTGAGCGTAGGGCCCTCCACACCTTCTCCCTCTCTCTCCCAGACCACCGTATCGACCCAGACATTCTGCTCAATGATTACATTGAGAAGGAAGTTAAGGTATTACTCGCCTTCAAATTTGTGCTATTGCATTATGTACTCATTTTACCATTTTGTTTGGGGGACAAAAGCCTTTGGGGGAGAAAACCCTTCCCAAATCTTTTGCTGTTGCCATCAAAGGCAGAGCATCCAATTAAACTTAAGAGCGTGTAAAAGACTCAACTCTCAGTTACCGTAATATTCTTCTTTTGGATTCAAGCTCTGCATTTGACAGTGTTTGCCACAAGCTCTTCACAGGATCCCATCTTGCAGCAAGTTTTTATTTTTACTAAACCTTTACCTAATCAACCTATGGCATCCCTCAGGGTTCGATACTTGGTCCGCTTCTATTTGCATTTTATGCCTTTATTTCGACAGATAATGAAGCACCATGGTTTCCACTGTTATGCTGATGATACCAACATTTATATCAACTCCTGTGATTTCTCCACTCCCTCCCTTAGTTTCCTAGCTTCCTAGCTAGCTAGTTAGGGACTTCCATGGGTGGCAGGTTATTTAGCACTGCTGCTCCTAGATTCTAGAGCTCCTTAGACAAAAATAAATAAATAAAATAAAAGAACTGTGTAGTGCAGTCTCTTGTTGTATTCCTGTATCTATCCTTGTTATTTTCTTTTGCCATTTTTTTATATAAATAATTGTTTTTCATTATATTCCTTATTTTTCATTATTGTTATTATTACTATTGTAGTATCTGGGACAGCTGACCTCAGTTCCTGGATATCTGAATCCCTCCAGCCGCACAGAAGTTTTGCAGCTTATTGACAATGCCAGGGTAAGAGAAACAGTCAATGACATTGCCTTATTTCGCAATATGAAGATAAATTCCCACATTGCTTCTCTAATGTGTTTTGCAGAAGTCTCATCAGTTGGCAGGACAGCTGACATCAGAGCAGGATGCTGTTGTCAGTTTGTCGGCATACAATGTGAAGCTCGTGTGGCGTGACGGAGAAGACATCATTCTCCGTGTACCCATTCATGACATCGCAGCTGTGTCCTACATCAGAGACGACTCACTCCACCTCGTGGTGCTAAAAACAGGTACGCAGTAATGTGGATGAGCATTACACAAAAAGCGAAACAGAACACGGAAATTGAATTTATTTTAGATTCTAAGGATAATGTGTGAAAATTTTGGGTTTTCTTACCATGGGGTATGATTTGCATTTGCAGCTCAGGACCCCGGAGGTTCTCCATGTCATAGTACAGAGATGTCAAAATCTCCCACTCTGAGCTCTCTTTCAGAGAGCGGCGCTGTGCTTGTGGAGGTCTGCTGCCTGCTTGTGCTGGCTGTCGATAATAAGGTTGGCTTTGGTCATTTAAAAGGACCTTATTTTGTCTGTTCAATTTGAAACAAGTGACATGACCAAGACATGACACGTTTATTGCAAAAACTACTGCTATTGTGCAATGTACTGTTACTTTTGATGTTTATAAAAGCAGCAGTGGTTTGATTATCATGAGCTCTGGTTTTGCAGGCTGCAGCAGAGGAGCTGTGTGTTCTACTTAGTCAAGTCTTCCAGATCGTCTACACAGAGTCCACCATTGACTTTCTGGACAGGGCCATCTTTGATGGAGCCACAACACCCATCAGGCATCTCTCGATCTGCAGCGGTGAGTAGGCAAGAGCTTCATCATTTTGGGATTTCCCAGGAAATTTGTACTTGCCCAAAACCACAGACCACAGTCAGTTTCACATCTCTATTTCATCTGGGGTGGTTTATTGGAACCGTATTTATGCTTCCTGAAGCTTAGTCTGTTAATAGCACACTGACCTTGTTGCAAAATTAAATATTTCTAAATACTTTCCTTATTTTTCCAATAAAAGAGGACTCCTCGAGCAAAGATGTCAAAGAAGTGTTTGAGGCCGAGGCGAGCACATTGTGAGTATCGCTTCAAATGTCCTCTGCAGTAATGTGCCATTTTATCTCTTGAATTGAGCAATCATTGTGTTTTTGTCCAATCTCAGTACTTTCCAAAGTTCTCTAGAGGCAGGACACTCCTCTAGCCCCTCCCCCTCCTCCACCCCGGCCTCCCCACAAACCATAACAGCCAGTGAGAGTGAACTAAGCACAACAGCTGCTGAACTGCTACAAGACTACATGACCACAGTGAGTGTTTGTGTGTGTAGAGTGCAGTGTATAAAAATACATTTGTCTGTAATTAGTCTTTGCATAACAAATGATGTTTTTACACTGTCTTCCTGTCATCCTCTGCTATAGTTGAGGACAAAGCTGTCATCTCAGGAGATACAGCAGTTTGCCACACTGTTACGCGAGTACAGAAACGGAGCCTCCATCCATGAGTTCTGCATCAACCTGCGTCAGCTTTATGGAGACAGCAGGAAGTTCCTCCTCCTGGGTTAGTTACATGTTGGAGTGTTAAATTTGTTTTCAACATAGCTGTTTTTTATGGACTACTCGTTGTTCACTGACTTTAACATTAGTGTATGCAGAGTTGTTATTGTTAACTAAAACTATTAATTGCTTTCATTAATTGAAATAAAATAAAAATGTAATAAAATTAAACCAAAATAAATTAAATATAAATATAAAAAAACAAAAACAAATAAAAAATGACATTGAATATAACAAAATTACTTATATTAAAATAACTGAAAATTGAAAAGCTAATTTAGTATAGTAAATTAATAAACACTAAAATCAAAATTAGTAAATACTATAATAGTATTTAAATTCTACTAAATTAACACTGGTTAAAATGACTTTTACCATTTTTACTGATTACTTAGCTCTTGGTTTTTATTCCATATAAATTATTCATGATTATATTTTTCCTCTGGAGTCCACTTAAATTGTAACTGATTTTCCATCCTCTCGATGACCCTTAGAATTAAATATTTTTGCTACTGTATCTTTAAGACTTGATATGTGAATGTTTAAAGGGGTCATATGACGTTGCTAAAAAGAACATTATTTTGTGTATTTGGTGTAATGCAATGTGCTTATGCGGTTTAAGGTTCAAAAAACACATTATTTTCCATATAATGTACATTATTCTTTCTCCTCTATGCCCTGCCTTTCTGAAACGTGTCGATTTTTACAAAGCTCATCGGTCTAAAAAAGCGAGGTGTGCTCTGATTGGCCAGCTATCCAGTGGATTGTGATTGGCCGAATGTCTCAAGTGTGTGATGGAAATGTTACACCCCTTAACATACTGGGATGCCGTCTCCCAGCAGGACGAGACAAAACCAATAAAACCCATTACAAACGAGGCATTTGTTGCATGATTACTTATACTGTCTTTTTACGTATTGCGCCGCGTAAACATAAAACCATGTCTGCATTTGTGATCGGAGAAACAACAAACAACAAGACTACTCTACACTGCTCAAAACTCGCCGTTTGAATCATCAGTGGCAAATTATTTAAATATAAAAAAAAACTTACTTTCAGAAGTCAGAAGCGCCAGACTGTCCTTGCAAAGTTGGAACTGCCCCACTTTATAGAACAGCCTTTGTGCCACAGGCGCATTGTAGGCTACTTGTTCAGGAAACAGTCCTCGTCCTCCATAAAATGCGCTGAACACATCTGAATATTTGGGTTGAACTGTTCTGGAACAGTGTTGTAAATACAACTTAACCACTGATTTCTAGTCGTGTCCTCTTTTGGAAGGCCAAACAAAGTAGTTTCGCTTTCACAACGAAGCACACAGCATCTTTACAACATGGCGGCGGCAACAACAAAACTACAGAGAGAATAAAAGTTATGCCTTCTTTCTTTGCTTGAACATTTGGGCGCCGTTATGCAAAAAATCTTCCCATATCGTGACGTAGACGTGGGGGCGTGTTAGAACGCGCCGTTTTAGGTAGGCGTGGCTGACTCTTAACTTTTATAAAGAATATCTCTTTGGATTTGAGACTTTAGTCTTTGCAACTTTACAGATCTTCTTTATGCACCAAGAGCTTGTAACACTCCAAAGAGAAAGGAAAAATTGAAATCGCATCATATGACCCCTTTAATTTACATAGGAGTCGAGTAACTACCAGCAGTTTGAGAGTTTGCTGCCATGTCCAGTTTTGTTTCTTCTATCTCCATCCTTCAATAACAGCCTCTTTGTTAAGCCTGTGAGGCATTTTGACAGGTTCAAATGGTTTGTGCTGAAATTTGTCACAAATTGTTATGGTCAAACTGTTGTTGTCGTCAGGGACCTACAACTTCCCCCCTCCCCCAAAAATACACAGCTGCTTGCAGAATATTTAAATGGTACATCAGACTTCACATTTGTTCTTATTGACCTATGTTGGAGATTTTCTTCATTTGTTAAATTCCTTTCTGTTTTCTCCACTCCAGGACTGCGGCCTTTCATTCCTGAGAAGGACAGCCAGCACTTTGAGAACTTTTTGGAAACCATCGGCGTGAAGGATGGCCGCGGCATCATAACGGACAGCTTTGGACGTTACAAACGCACGACAAGCTCTGCGTCAGACTCCACCACTAATGGAAACGGTGCTGCGGGCGGATCGGATGAAGGAACGGCCACCTCTGAGGGTGACGAATGGGACCGCATGATTTCAGACATAAGCAATGACATTGAAGCGTTAGGAAGCAGTATGGACCAGGACGGCGTGTCGCCTTGATGTCACGGCACTGGGTCAGTGTCTCGCAGTGTGCTTTAGCCAATCACCACTTGAGATAATCACACGGGCCATTGGCCCATATTGCTGTCCATCCAATCTGACAATGCTGGAGTTGGGATACTGTGTGGATACCACTTCCTGGCCATCATCCTTACTTTTATATATTGTGCCATATTAACACAACTTGATTTTTCAGATTTGACAATTGTGATTTTCAAGACCTGTGATAGAAGGATCGTGTATTGCTGTGGACAGCAGTTGTGTTCTTCTGGGATGTTTATTGGCAGTATCTGCTACCACTAATGAGAAACCTTGTTGCTGGTAGATATCGCTCTTTCACACTGATCTGTATGAAAGTTTATTTCCACCACAGATTAAAAAGGTATTTTACAATTCTGACTTTTTCCTGTGAATTTATAACTGTCAAATTTGAGAAAAAAGTCAAAGTTGTGAGATAAAAGAACGCAATTACTTTTTTATTCAAGAAATACACGTAATTGTGACTTTTTATTCCACAGTTCAGACTTTTACAGCAAATGCAAGTTAACCTCTTTTTGAGTTTATATCTTACAGTTTTGAGTTTATATTTTGACTTCAGAATTGCAGGAAAGTCTAATCTGAGAAAGAAGTCAATTGTGAGATGTTAACTTAAATTACTTCATAACTTTGGTTTATAACTCAGTTGCGAGAAAGGTCAGAATGATAAGATTAAAAGTTACCCTTTTAAAAAATGAACAATTCTGATGTTTTTTCCCTCTCAATTGTGTTTATATCTCACAATTCAGACTTTTTCTTAGAATTGCACATCTCGCAGTTGAGTTTATATCTTGAAATTCTGACTTCAGAGCTGTGTGAAAAAAATTGAGCAAACTACTGAATGATAACTCATTCTGACAAAAATGTAATTGCCAGTTTTAAAATCTCAATTGTGAGAAAAAAAAAGTCAGAATTATGAGAAAGTCGCAATTACTTTTTTATTTATAAAAATAAAACATAACATGAATTGCAACTTTTTATCTCACAGTTCTGACTTTTTTTAAGAACTGAGGGAAAAGTCAGAATTATGAGATATAAACTCAGAATTGTGAGGAAAAACGCATTATTATGAGTTTATAATGCTTAGTTGCGAGACAATTAATTTGCAGGTAATCTCTTAAACTTTTTAGAAATTCTGTTGCAGAAATAAGCTTCCAAAGATTGAGATCAGCGTGTGAGACCACTTGTGTCTCATTTAATGCGACTTCTGATCAGTGTGAAGGTGCAGTTTGAAGCATTGCCTAGTGGGCTTCCTAAAGCGTGATCTGCATTGCCTTATGTGTGTTGTAACCTGATGGAAGTGAGCTGCAGTATATTTCTCCTGCACTGAAGTGCTAATCAAAACTTGACATTTTTACACCCTTATATTAACTGGTCACTTGTTTTTCCTCTAACATATATTTTTCACTTCTTTTATATTTGTTTCAGCCAGGATTGATTATAATTACCCAGTTATTGTCACGTTTCTTCAGGTAGGAAATGTGGTTTTGACTGAAACCTGGAAAATGTGGATATTAGACAAAGTCATTTTTCTGGCTGATTGAGAATGCAATATTCAGCACACTGCATTACGCTCACGTCCCGTCATTCATTGTATCTCCTCAGAGTTTTCAGTAATCTAACATTGTGCCTTGCAGAATCACTGATTGTATCATCCAACATGGATGCAAGTAATATTCTGTAATCTGTACAGAACGTGACTGAAGTATGAGTTTATTAAAAAGTGCAGCACTTGCATCCTCATTTATTGCTTTTTGTATCATTTTAGCACTTTATAGTGAAACTACAGGAGGGGTTATTTCACAAGAATGGACTTGCCTGCTCTGCATCACATTTTATGGTCTTTGTGGGGCTTCTTTTGATTAGTTAGCCTTCTTTTAATACTGTTTAACCCTCTTTAATAAAAAAATTCACTTTGTTTATTCTGAAAGGATATTTCACTCATTTTAAACCTGCATTATGAAGCCTTGCTCCAGAACAGCTCCATGAACTGGTATACTGAGAAAAAAAATTTATTCATTGAATTTACTGATTTAGTTTTTTACGGTAAGTGGTTGCAATCAGTTTATTTTAGCTACATTTAAATAAACAAATTGAGTTGACTAACTTTCACCATATTTTTTTTATTATTAAATGTAGCTAAAATAAATTGTTTGCAACCACTTATCTTAAAAAAATGTAGTATAATTCATTGTACAGATGTAATTGATTATAATTTGGTTCCTAAAGTGTTAAATAATCCTGGGTTAACGAATTCAGTTTTTAATGGAAAACTTCCTCAAAGGATGTAAAACAAAAGATTATTTTATTTAATAAAAAATATATAAAGTATATTCATTTCCATTTGGGCAACTGGGAATTGCTGTAAGTGTGCTCCAAATCCCTCACACTTGTTTAAAAGACCTACGCTCACAACTAATGACCAATAAAAACCTTGATAAAAATAGGCATTTACGAAGAATCCCTAACATAGGCATAAGCCTGCTCAATTTATCCAAGCATGTAGCTATCACGCAACGATAAGTAGGATTAAACGTATCCCACAGGGCAACAGTGCACTCCCTCTCTCTCATTAGCGGATGTTACCTCTGAAACAAGAGGCCTTTGCCATGGATTGACTTCTTTTTGAGGTTACCTAGAGGGTTAATTTTGGATAAGGTAAACTTGTGCTATAAATCCTTTTCATTTTAATTCTTTTGTGCTGGAGAGTCGCTGAAATTTGTCACAAATTGTTATGGTCAAACTGTTGTTGTCGTCAGGGACCTACAACTTCCCCCCTCCCCCAAAAATACACAGCTGCTTGCAGAATATTTAAATGGTACATCAGACTTCACATTTGTTCTTATTGACCTATGTTGGAGATTTTCTTCATTTGTTAAATTCCTTTCTGTTTTCTCCACTCCAGGACTGCGGCCTTTCATTCCTGAGAAGGACAGCCAGCACTTTGAGAACTTTTTGGAAACCATCGGCGTGAAGGACGGCCGCGGCATCATAACGGACAGCTTTGGGCGTTACAAACGCACGACAAGCTCTGCGTCAGACTCCACCACTAATGGAAACGGTGCTGCGGGTGGTTCGGGTGAAGGAACGGCCACCTCTGAGGGCGACGAATGGGACCGCATGATTTCAGACATAAGCAATGACATTGAAGCGTTAGGAAGCAGTATGGACCAGGACGGCGTGTCGCCTTGATGTCACGGCACTGGGTCAGTGTCTCGCAGTGTGCTTTAGCCAATCACCACTTGAGATAATCACACGGGCCATTGGCCCATATTGCTGTCCATCCAATCTGACAATGCTGGAGTTGGGATACTGTGTGGATACCACTTCCTGGCCATCATCCTTACTTTTATATATTGTGCCATATTAACACAACTTGATTTTTCAGATTTGACAATTGTGATTTTCAAGACCTGTGATAGAAGGATCGTGTATTGCTGTGGACAGCAGTTGTGTTCTTCTGGGATGTTTATTGGCAGTATCTGCTACCACTAATGAGAAACCTTGTTGCTGGTAGATATCGCTCTTTCACACTGATCTGTATGAAAGTTTATTTCCACCACAGATTAAAAAGGTATTTTACAATTCTGACTTTTTCCTGTGAATTTATAACTGTCAAATTTGAGAAAAAAGTCAAAGTTGTGAGATAAAAGAACGCAATTACTTTTTTATTCAAGAAATACACGTAATTGTGACTTTTTATTCCACAGTTCAGACTTTTACAGCAAATGCAAGTTAACCTCTTTTTGAGTTTATATCTTACAGTTTTGAGTTTATATTTTGACTTCAGAATTGCAGGAAAGTCTAATCTGAGAAAGAAGTCAATTGTGAGATGTTAACTTAAATTACTTCATAACTTTGGTTTATAACTCAGTTGCGAGAAAGGTCAGAATGATAAGATTAAAAGTTACCCTTTTAAAAAATGAACAATTCTGATGTTTTTTCCCTCTCAATTGTGTTTATATCTCACAATTCAGACTTTTTCTTAGAATTGCACATCTCGCAGTTGAGTTTATATCTTGAAATTCTGACTTCAGAGCTGTGTGAAAAAAATTGAGCAAACTACTGAATGATAACTCATTCTGACAAAAATGTAATTGCCAGTTTTAAAATCTCAATTGTGAGAAAAAAAAAGTCAGAATTATGAGAAAGTCGCAATTACTTTTTTATTTATAAAAATAAAACATTACATGTTTATATCTCGCAGTTTATATCTTGCAATTCTGACTTAAGAACTGAGGGAAAAGTCAGAATTATGAGATATAAACTCAGAATTGTGAGGAAAAACGCATTATTATGAGTTTATAATGCTTAGTTGCGAGACAATTAATTTGCAGGTAATCTCTTAAACTTTTTAGAAATTCTGTTGCAGAAATAAGCTTCCAAAGATTGAGATCAGCGTGTGAGACCACTTGTGTCTCATTTAATGCGACTTCTGATCAGTGTGAAGGTGCAGTTTGAAGCATTGCCTAGTGGGCTTCCTAAAGCGTGATCTGCATTGCCTTATGTGTGTTGTAACCTGATGGAAGTGAGCTGCAGTATATTTCTCCTGCACTGAAGTGCTAATCAAAACTTGACATTTTTACACCCTTATATTAACTGGTCACTTGTTTTTCCTCTAACATATATTTTTCACTTCTTTTATATTTGTTTCAGCCAGGATTGATTATAATTACCCAGTTATTGTCATGTTTCTTCAGGTAGGAAATGTGGTTTTGACTGAAACCTGGAAAATGTGGATATTAGACAAAGTCATTTTTCTGGCTGATTGAGAATGCAATATTCAGCACACTGCATTACGCTCACGTCCCGTCATTCATTGTATCTCCTCAGAGTTTTCAGTAATCTAACATTGTGCCTTGCAGAATCACTGATTGTATCATCCAACATGGATGCAAGTAATATTCTGTAATCTGTACAGAACGTGACTGAAGTATGAGTTTATTAAAAAGTGCAGCACTTGCATCCTCATTTATTGCTTTTTGTATCATTTTAGCACTTTATAGTGAAACTACAGGAGGGGTTATTTCACAAGAATGGACTTGCCTGCTCTGCATCACATTTTATGGTCTTTGTGGGGCTTCTTTTGATTAGTTAGCCTTCTTTTAATACTGTTTAACCCTCTTTAATAAAAAAATTCACTTTTTTTATTCTGAAAGGATATTTCACTCATTTTAAACCTGCATTATGAAGCCTTGCTCCAGAACAGCTCCATGAACTGGTATACTGAGAAAAAAAATTTATTCATTGAATTTACTGATTTAGTTTTTTACGGTAAGTGGTTGCAATCAGTTTATTTTAGCTACATTTAAATAAACAAATTGAGTTGACTAACTTTCACCATATTTTTTTTATTATTAAATGTAGCTAAAATAAATTGTTTGCAACCACTTATCTTAAAAAAATGTAGTATAATTCATTGTACAGATGTAATTGATTATAATTTGGTTCCTAAAGTGTTAAATAATCCTGGGTTAACGAATTCAGTTTTTAATGGAAAACTTCCTCAAAGGATGTAAAACAAAAGATTATTTTATTTAATAAAAAATATATAAAGTATATTCATTTCCATTTGGGCAACTGGGAATTGCTGTAAGTGTGCTCCAAATCCCTCACACTTGTTTAAAAGACCTACGCTCACAACTAATGACCAATAAAAACCTTGATAAAAATAGGCATTTACGAAGAATCCCTAACATAGGCATAAGCCTGCTCAATTTATCCAAGCATGTAGCTATCACGCAACGATAAGTAGGATTAAACGTATCCCACAGGGCAACAGTGCACTCCCTCTCTCTCATTAGCGGATGTTACCTCTGAAACAAGAGGCCTTTGCCATGGATTGACTTCTTTTTGAGGTTACCTAGAGGGTTAATTTTGGATAAGGTAAACTTGTGCTATAAATCCTTTTCATTTTAATTCTTTTGTGCTGGAGAGTCCTTGCCATCAAAGCAAGAGCTAAAGTCCTCAAAGACATTGACTGGCATTATCACATGGCTACAGAACAAGCTTTGGGACCCGTACATATAAAACAACAGCGCCAAAAGTTTATTTGAGCAGAAGACATTAAGTCGGTCATTAATAATATGACTCTTGAAGGCGAACATGGCGCATAACTTTGCTCACACAGCACATACCTGTAATTCCAGGGCGCATGCATGCGTAAAACCCTCATTCCTCACTGGAGCCAAGAAGCACATCCTGACAAACTGAGCTGCTTTAGGGACACACAAAGGGTGTCAAAGGTCAGTACCTTGATCCTGAGCAAACAAGGAGCTGGGAGCTTATGTCATGTTAGATGTCATTTGACAAGACAGCTGCACTGGAGACAATGATACAGAGAGACCCGGTTTCTCATTAGAGCTAAAGTTGACTGGGGAATGGTGGCAGACAATAGCTCCAAAACGACAGGTGTCTTGATGGTTTATAAAGGCAGTAAAGAGTGCATTAGTGCCCACCCACTTTTTCAGCAGCATTGGTTCCGGAAGTGTTTGTCCAATTAATTTTTCCCATAGAGATTTTTAAAAAAGTCTTTGTTAAAAAGTTAAAAGCCATGAACCAAGTCAACCAGCTATGAGGTCAATCACAACTTTAAAAAGTATTGAAAATCAGACTAAAACACAAAGGATCAAGACTTTGTGTGAGGGAAAGAACTACCATCCCACAAAGCACTGCGAATGACATAATTAAATTAAAAACAGAGCAATATTAAACTAATGACTTAGTATAGTGTATCTCATGATAGTATATCAAATTTTCATTGCTGTCTATGGAGGGACAAAAAGCTCTCGGATTTCGTCAAAAATATCTTAATTTGTGTTCCGAAGATGAACAAAGGTCTTCTGAAAGGTTTGGAACGGTGAGTAATTAATGACAGAATTTGCAATCAGTTTATTTTAGCTACATTTAAATAAACAAATTGAGTTGACTAACTTTCACCATATTTTTTTTATTATTAAATGTAGCTAAAATAAATTGTTTGCAACCACTTATCTTAAAAAAATGTAGTATAATTCATTGTACAGATGTAATTGATTATAATTTGGTTCCTAAAGTGTTAAATAATCCTGGGTTAACGAATTCAGTTTTTAATGGAAAACTTCCTCAAAGGATGTAAAACAAAAGATTATTTTATTTAATAAAAAATATATAAAGTATATTCATTTCCATTTGGGCAACTGGGAATTGCTGTAAGTGTGCTCCAAATCCCTCACACTTGTTTAAAAGACCTACGCTCACAACTAATGACCAATAAAAACCTTGATAAAAATAGGCATTTACGAAGAATCCCTAACATAGGCATAAGCCTGCTCAATTTATCCAAGCATGTAGCTATCACGCAACGATAAGTAGGATTAAACGTATCCCACAGGGCAACAGTGCACTCCCTCTCTCTCATTAGCGGATGTTACCTCTGAAACAAGAGGCCTTTGCCATGGATTGACTTCTTTTTGAGGTTACCTAGAGGGTTAATTTTGGATAAGGTAAACTTGTGCTATAAATCCTTTTCATTTTAATTCTTTTGTGCTGGAGAGTCCTTGCCATCAAAGCAAGAGCTAAAGTCCTCAAAGACATTGACTGGCATTATCACATGGCTACAGAACAAGCTTTGGGACCCGTACATATAAAACAACAGCGCCAAAAGTTTATTTGAGCAGAAGACATTAAGTCGGTCATTAATAATATGCCTCTTGAAGGCGAACATGGTTTGCTCACTTGCTCACACAGCACATACCTGTAATTCCAGGGCGCATGCATGCGTAAAACCCTCATTCCTCACTGGAGCACATCCTGACATCCTGACAAACTGAGCTGCTTTAGGGACACACAAAGGGTGTCAAAGGTCAGTACCTTGATCCTGAGCAAACAAGGAGCTGGGAGCTTATGTCATGTTAGATGTCATTTGACAAGACAGCTGCACTGGAGACAATGATACAGAGAGACCCGGTTTCTCATTAGAGCTAAAGTTGACTGGGGAATGGTGGCAGACAATAGCTCCAAAACGACAGGTGTCTTGATGGTTTATAAAGGCAGTAAAGAGTGCATTAGTGCCCACCCACTTTTTCAGCAGCATTGGTTCCGGAAGTGTTTGTCCAATTAATTTTTCCCATAGAGATTTAAAAAAAAGTCTTTGTTAAAAAGTTAAAAGCCATGAACCAAGTCAACCAGCTATGAGGTCAATCACAACTTTAAAAAGTATTGAAAATCAGACTAAAACACAAAGGATCAAGACTTTGTGTGAGGGAAAGAACTACCATCCCACAAAGCACTGCGAATGACATAATTAAATTAAAAACAGAGCAATATTAAACTAATGACTTAGTATAGTGTATCTCATGATAGTATATCAAATTTTCATTGCTGTCTATGGAGGGACAAAAAGCTCTCGGATTTCGTCAAAAATATCTTAATTTGTGTTCCGAAGATGAACAAAGGTCTTCTGAAAGGTTTGGAACGGTGAGTAATTAATGACAGAATTTTCTTTTTTGTGTGAACTAACCCTTATATGTTATAAATCTAAATAATTTCCTTTATACACTCTCAGAAAAAAGTGCAAAGCTGTTACTGGGGCGGTAAGGTACAAAAGGTACATT